GTGGGGAGCATTCGGTCCGTCAACTATCGCCACCCCCCACCCCTGCCTGCACCAGGCAGGGGAAGCAGGGTGCAAAAACATGGCTCCTACCCTCCAGGGGGGGTGGTGGGGGGGGCACACACAGGAAACCACAACACAGACGACCTGTGACATTTGGGTGTGTCTGGACCTTCGGAGTCGGGGGGGCGGGGCTGGGCTTGCACAAGTCACTGCTGGCAAGATGCCCGTTTCAATGGCTGGGGCAATATGGTAGAATGTTATGAAGCAAGTATTCCACTAATCTTTTATTAGTAGTATTTCTGGAAAAAAAAAAAAAAGCGTGCTACCTAGTCTTAGTGAGGCTCCGGGGAAACAGAAGTGGGGCGGGGGCGGCGGGGGGGAGGGACCCAGGAGCGGCTGTCGCGCAGGAGGGGGAGAACGTGTTCCATTTCTGCAAGGTGCACCAAAGGGTTAAAGTCATTTTCATTAAAATTTAAATTTCAGCAGGCGTTCACTCTCCCTTCCCCATCCTTTGAACGTTTGACTGGCAACCATTTCATATTTCAATCTCGGCAGAACAAATTGAATTAGATGTTGAAGCCGAGCTCGGTGCTGTTCACCAAAGCCTGCATGCTCGGCTTGCGCTAATCCTTCCTAGACGCCGCGGAGCACAGGCACACCGGCCCGGCCACAAAAGACAAGCCGAGGAGGCAGCAAAGGAGGAGGAGGAAACACGGGCGGGCGAGGGCCGCTGGAACCTGTCCTCGGCCTGACACGCGGGTCTTCAAGCCCAGGAGACAGAAGCTCATGTGGCCGTTCTGGCCTTGAATCCCGGGTGCCCAGCACACGGGGCCCCTGCTAAGTGTCTGATGAATGAATGAATGAATGAATGAATGAATGAATGGACGAATAGACGAACAGGTGAGGCGTACTGGCTCACTCCGTGGCAGCCTCTGCCTCTGGCTGGTGCCCCTTCCCGTCCCATGTGGAGTGATGGTGGCTGCCTAGCCCCCTCCCAGAGTCCAGATGCTTCCGTGGGAATCCGGGTTCACTCGGGTCCTGTGACCCTCTACGCCAGCCCCTGACCGGCGTGCAAACCGGCCAGAAGACGCCGGCTCGAGTTTCCCGGGAGGGAGGCAGACCTGAGGGCTTGCCCAGCGACCTTTGCCGGGTGGGCACCGACAGGAACCTTTCCTTACGCAGCCAAGTGGGTGGACGGGTCTAGGAGTGCTGGCCCAGGGGCCCGAATCCGGCTCTCAGAACGGACGGTTCTACTGTGACAGTGGCATCCCTGCCCGCGGGTGGGCCCGGGATCACAAGTGTTAGGAGCAAACCCAGCCATACCACGGCCTGGGGAGGGGTCCACCTGTTTTCCAACCGCACACCCTGGCAACCACTGGCTCATCTGGGGTCTGGCTGTGTGCCAGCAGCTGAACCATGTGCTTGCTCGGCCCGCTTTGGGGCCTGTGGGCAGAGGGCACCCTCTCCGGGCCACCTTCCCGCGCGTATGGACTCCCCATCCTGCCCCATGCCTCCAATGTGGGCCCAGCAGGCCTGCCGGGCACGCGCTGGGGCCTGGCATCCTTGGGCATTCGTGGGCAGAGTGCCCCAAGCTTCCTTCGTTGTAAAATTTGGACAGCAATCATGAGAACTACCCCTTATCTAGCACCCCTGCGGCATGCAACGGTCTAAGTGCTCCCCACCCGGGGTCTTTCAATGTTCAAAACGCTTCTACGAGGCAAGAAGTCTTCTCCTACCCGTTTTAAAGGCACGGACGTGGAAGGAGGAGATGGCTGCACGGCGGCAGGGGTGCAGCGGGGGTCCCGCCCAGGCCTTCCTGGGACCAGGGCCTGTGGGTCCTGCTCTCACTCCCCTCTGGGAGACCCCCGTCTAACTCCCACCCTCCCCCCGCAGGAGGGAGCCGGGCCCCTCCCCACACCCCTGCCCCCCACTCCGAGCCAGGCCCCACATTCCAACACTCGGTCCTACCCTCCAGGGTTCCCCGGGGCCTCATGCCCTTGCTGACCCCCCAGGGCTCCTGCACAACTCCTGCCCTCCCACCCCGGCTTCCATCTGGGCCCCCTCCCTGCCTCTGGCAGCTCCCTGTCTCCTTGCCGTGCCTGTAGGGCGGGTCCACCGAGGGGGACTTCAGGCAGAGCCAGAGGCCAACGGGTGACAATGCCTCCACGTGGAGGGCCCCAGGGACTGGGAGGAATACCCTGGCTTCTCTCTCCTATGAGCCTCCAGAGCCTGAAGGCGCCCACCCCCGACCAAACCCTGCTGCCAGGCTGTTGCCAGGGGAGCCTGGGAAACACGACCTCCCGAGAGTCCCAGCAGGCGTGCGGTGGGTGTGTCGTGTGTAGACGCGGGGCACACAGGCAGGGCTCTAGCTCCTGACTCTGCAAACGGCCGTCTGCACAGGCCTTGAGGTCAGGACCCCCCTCTGACCCTGTGGCCCCCAGCCCCACATCACCTCCCCTCCCCGGGTGCCTGCTCTGGTCCAGCCTCCAGCACGGCCCTCTTCTTGGCTCCCCCTGACCATCCGGGGGTCAAAGACCCCCTTGAGAAACGGGTGAGTCTGCACATACATCGGGAAGCTCACCGGGGCCGCACCCCTTCCTCAGCGGCCACCTCCGTGGTTTATTCCTGGCATTTCTTCTCTGGACCGAATGATGGCCCACTGTCACTTCTAAATCCTCCTCGTAAGCTCCCCTGTGCCCCATGTTCCTGGTGACAACAGTGCCCGTCCGCCGGATGTCTGGGCCCCACAATCAGGAGTCCCCGCAGTTCACCCGGCACACTCTGGATGGATGCGTTTCTCCCAGGTGCTCCCGGCGGCCCCGCCCCCGTGCCGGGCGAACTTGACCCAGCTTCGCTGGACGGTCACCTGGCCATGCTCCGCCTCCTTCCAGAATCGTAATAGACATGGCAGTTCCGATATAAGTTACACAGCGTTAGTAGCTCCTGACTGCTCAGGGCTGCAGTCATTTTCAATGGGGAAGGGACAGGGCTCAGGCCGTTCCCTGCACTAGACTGCTGCCACTGAAAGGGACAGGGACGTCCGAGACAGGGACGTCCGCACGTGGGAGGGGTGGAGTGTGGCCACTTTGGATAAAGCGGTCAGGACCAATCTCTGAGTGAGGAAGGAGAATTTAAACTAAGATCTCAAAGGGAAATAAAGAGACAGGAAAGATGTGGGGGAAGGGTGTCTGGGCAGGGGGAAGAGCATGTGCAAAGGCCCTGGGGTGGGAGCATGCTGGAAAGGCCAGCACGCAGGAAGTGAGGGACAAGAGGCAGGGCCTTCTCGCCGGGCGACGAACGTGACTTCGTTCCAAGTGTGCGGCAGGCCCTGACGGGTTTTAAGCTATGACTTGCACGATCCGGTTCACGGATCCAGCTGGACCCCTCTGGCTGCCTGTGGGGAATGCAGTGCCCCTGGGGAAGGGGAAGGGGGGGATGAGGGTGACATCCGCCATGGATGTCCTGGAGAGCCAGGTGTGGCATGAAGGAGGGGTGATGGGGCCCCCCGCGATCTCCAGGGGAGCCGAATCGACTGCTCTCATTTGCTTATGTGGCGGCTCCCTGTCTAGACAGTGAGCCCCTGTGGGGGGGGGGGGGGTGGGGGCAGAGAGGCCAGGCAGGGCAGCGAGAGGGAAGGGGACCCAGCGTACCCCAGGCTGGTGTGAATGCATCCAGGCTGCAGGACTTGGCCGGTCCTGCCCTGGGGACGTTCTGGTACCTTCATCCGAGTCACTTAAGTCTGTGCCAGCGACGCCTCCCGTGTGCCAGGCCCAGGGGGTCCGGTGGCCTCCTATTTGGTGACACGGACTACCCCCCACCATCGGCCTGGCTCTGGCAGTGGGAGCACAAATCGTGTGTTCCGCCAGGGGGACCCACGTGCCGCTCAACGGGACAGGCAGTGGCGGGGGAATGGGGCGGGCCCGTCACCCCCAAGACCCACGGCACCCGGGGGGACTGGCCACCCGAGGGCCTGGCCGGGGTGAGGCTTAACACTGACCCTGCCGTACAGCCCCACCTGCACACTGTGGCCGCACCTGCTCTCTGCGGGACACTCCGGCATAAAGGCTGGCGACCAAGCCACTCGGGGTTTGTGCCTTTTGCCTCCGTTGTCTCCCAGGGCCGGGCACCTGCCCCACGGGCTGAGCCTCACAGAGCGACCAGCGCCGTGGAGCTTCGCTGGGGTTCCAGACGGCTCAGGCAACCGGATGGAGACGGGAACCTCCCGCCTCTGGAAACGCACAGACCCGGTTTTCTGCAAAGTCGGAAGGTTCCTGGACGCGCACCTGGAGCCCTGGCCAGAGGTCCCAAATTAAGAACAGAAGTGCTGATGGGCATTTTCTCTGGGCTTTACTTGGGTTGACGGGGGCAGTCAAACACCAGGCTGGCACAATGTCACCTCCCTCGTACAGAAAGGGAAGCCGGGGGTCAGAAGGGACCTCCGTGGTCTGCGGCCGGGGCTGAGGAGGGCGAGGCTGGGATTCAGACCCAGAGCAGACCAGCTGTGGCTCTTTCCTCCCCACGGGGGAGGCCGTATTTCCAGGCTGGAGCAGGTGTGTGTGCACGGGCGCCCCAAGCCCGGGATAAGCCTTTCGACACCGCCTGCCGGGGCCGGGGCGCGTCTCACGGGGTCCCCTGCCTGTGCGCAGAGGGCGTCCACCATCAGAAACACGGCTTAGGCGCAACTGGTGAGGCTGGTGGCTGGGCTTCGTGAGCAGCTCAGAGGCTCCCCAGCCCCGTGCTCGGTCGCTGGCGGTCCCACGTGACCTTGGAGCAGGACGGAGGCCAAGTCCCCAGCCGGGAGCGCTCCCGTGGAGGGCCGTGGGGGGGAACCCCCCGCTAACAGCGCCGCAGGGGAAGGCGAGAACAGGAGTTTCTGGGCTGGTCTCACGTGCTCAGCCCCGCGCCCGGGGGTTCTTCGTGGATTAAGGCGGCATTTTTTTCTCACTAAACCTGTACGAGGTGGGAACCCGTTTTCAAGGCAGAGGTTGGGACCAGGGAGGTCAGGTAACTGGGCCGGGGTCCCCAGCCTCTGCAGCGTGGAGCGGGGGCCTCGTGCCCAGACGGCCCGGCTGCAGGGAGCTGCCCTCACCCCCGTTGCCACACTCGTTCCCCTGCAGCCGTGTGCCCCGGAGTGACCCCCTGAGTCCCTCTGTGCCCCGACCCTCCAACCAGCAAGGTGGGGCCCTGTCTCCCCGTCTGGGAGCAGCGGACTGCCAGGCTTGGTGGGGGGCGGTTTGTTTTTGCTGCTCCCGGGTCCTGTGCTGGCACAAGAGGCTCCCTAACGCGGCCGCGCCCCGCCTGCCCGCGGCCCTTGGGTGCCGGGCATAGAGTGGGCACACAGTGGCCGCTGGAACCTGTCACCCTGGAGGCCGACTGGGGCCCAGGCTGCCCTGGCAGCGGCCTGAGGCCACTGTCCCCTCTGACCTTGGGCCGGGGCGGGGTGGGGGCTCTCTTTCCCCGCCCACCCGCGCGGTGCTGCCCGCCCCCTCCCCAGCCCATGTGGCAGGAGCGCAGAAGCCGGAGCGGCTGTCCCCAGTCCCCAGGGCCCTGGAGCCACGTACCCTCTCGGTGCCAGCTCGCAGCTGAAGGGTTTGCTCCTCACTGTCATTTTCACTGTCTTCCAGCTGCTCCAGGATCTCGTCCAACATCACAGACCGCTTTTTCTTCGGGGGCTCTGTGGGAGCCCAGATGGCAAGAGAGGAGGAAAGAACAACCAAGAGGGTTGGGAGGTGGGAAGAGAGAGCCGGCAGGAAGGGAGAGGGAAAGGGGTGAGCAAAACGGAGGGCGGGGAGGCGAGAGGGGGAGAAGGCATGGAGAGGGAGGGGGCACGAGGGACGGGAAGCCAACGGGGAACGGAAAACACGGGCGAGAGAAACAGTGAGGGTTAGTCTCCCGCTTCACCACGGGGCTGCCTTCCCCCCAGCCCCAGCCACTCCCCTGTTCTGCCCGCCACCCCCCTCCCTGTCTCCCACCCGCAGAGGAGAAGGGAGGGGAAGAGAAGGGAAGGGAGAAGAGAAGGCCCCCTCCCAGCAGCTCCGAGGTTAGCGGATCTCTGTCCGGCTCGCAGGGAGCAGGAAACCTTCGGAGAGGATGGGTCAAGTGAGGGCAATCGCTGGGGAAACAAACAGAAGCCGCGCAGGCTTTCTTGGAGACTGCAGGCTCTTAATGGTATGGGAGGCGGCTGGCATCCAGCAGGTGCTCAATTAATGTCGGGTGAAATCATGCTCAAAGACGGCAGAGGAGGCGTGGAGGGAAGAAGAGCGAGAGGCAGCTTTAGAGAGGAGGGGCGTTCTGACTTGGGCTTTGAAGGACACAGAGGAGGTTTCTGTGACGACAGGGGAAGGGGGTGCAGGTGCACAGCATGAACAACGGGACGGCGGGCTCAGCAATACCCATTCCCCCTGGGCCTCAGACGCTACTGAGCGCCCACTGGGTGCCTCAGCTCCACTCCTCTTAACAAGCCCACAGGCAGGTGTTATTATTGCCTCTTGCAGGTGAGGGGACAGAACCACAGGCAGGTAAGTCTCAGGTCCCTCAGACAAGGGGTGGAGGCAGGACTCGAACCCACGCAACACCACAGCCACAGCCTTCCCACTTTTCACGGGAGTCTCCGGTGCTGGCCAGAGAATGCCAGGGAGACTGAGGGCGGCTTGGGGAAGGTGAGCTGGTCCCCTTGGCCCTCCTGGGAGGGACGGGGTGGTGGGGAGGGGGAAGACTGCGCTCAGCCTGCTGGCAGTCCCTCTTGTGGTCTAACCACTCGCTAACGGTCAGCCTCAGTCAAGGAAGAAGAATGTGGGCTCCTTCAGAGGCGGCTGCGGACGAGCCGTCCCGATCCCCCGGCCCTCAAACACCTCCTCCGCGAAGTCTTCTGCGGGGACAAACCCTTCGCCTCCGGGTCTGCAGAGCCCGGTCTGGCCCTTGGCCCAGACGTGAAGAGTCCTGGGCCTCTTGTAGAATGTTCTGGGTCGGTGACTTGGCGTCCCTGAGCCTATTTCTTCACCGTGTTCCTCCCCGGGTGACCGGGGGCACCGACCCCTTCTGATCCTCTCCACGGCCACCTGCCTGATCCAAGCACTTTCATCTGAATCCCTGTTCCCGCCGTCCCACACCGCGGGGTCTGCCCTGCCCACAGCAGCCCGAGGGATCCTTCTAGAACAGGTGCTACCCCCGGGGGTCTCAGAGCTCCCACGGCTTTGCCCAGCAGGGAGCGGGAACCCTTGCGTCCCCTGGGTGGCGTTACTCGAGCTGGGCCCTCCGGGAGACCCCTGCCCCCGCACGACCCAGGTCGCCTGTGTTCAAGCCCCAGCTCCCATGCCCCCTTCTCAGAGGACCCCCAGCCCTGCCGCGTGACCCTTCTCACCACCGACACCACGGCGCACGTTTCTTTGTCTGGGAACAGAGCTGTCCCGTGGGTTGCTATGTCCCCGGGCTCAGCACACAGCCTGGAACCCAGTGTGTGCTCATTGATGTTTGCCCAGTGAGGGGATGAGCACGCTGAGTGGGAAGGGGGGACCGAGCGAGGCTTGAGGAAGTGGTGGGAGGCTGCCTGCCCCCCACTCCCCCCGCCGCAGGAGCCCCCAGGCCTGGCAGCTGTATCCGTCATTGTTAGTCATGGAAAGGGAGAGGGGGCAGGACGGGCTGGGGGTAGGGGCGGCAGCCCCCGGGCTCAGACACACGCTTCTTCTCCCGGCTGCCTGCTTGACGCTCTCGGTTTCCTTATAATCGCCAGGCTCCGGAGGTGCACAATGGCCTCTGGAAATTGAATTTGTGGGCAGGTAATGGGAGCCGGAAAATAGAAGGGCAGGAAAATAGGGCCTGTGGGCCTGTCACTGACGCCCCCTGCTCGCTACTAACAGCGGGGGGTGTGAGCTCCCGGGATGGCGGTCCCTGCTCTCCCGGGCTCCCGAGGGGCGGCCGTGGCGGTGGAGCCACGGTCCTCCCCTTCAGGGATCGTTCTGGCCTTCGCCGCAGCCCGACACAGGCCAAGGGAGCAGGCTTCTGCCTACGCGTCCTATGGCTCAAGCTCTCAACCAGTTCTGTGCCCCCCGCCCCC